TGACTTAGAGGGTCCTCTAAAAAGATATCATGGCTTCAGTCTAGAGGAGCTTTGGATTAAAGGTCATCATTATAAAGAGTCTTGGCTGAAGGGCCTCGACCACTTGTAAAGAGCATCGGCTAAATGGCTTCATCCACTTATATAGAGGCTTGGCTGAGAGTCTCAGAGCCTCGATTTTGGGCATGGACAAGACCCATAAACCATATGACCCATTTACATTTTCTATATATATGTGAATCCACTTCTTAATTAAGGTATATTTTCTAATCCTATCCTTTTTCCCTCTTCCTCTCTTGCACTTATATTTTTTTCGTCCGGTAGTTGACTGACCGTCGAAGTGCTAATGGTCGCGGGACCTTTTTCTTGACCAGTGGCCTTTGTCTCCTAATAGGGTGTTCAGTGTGCAGGTGATGTCCACGTGAAGGGGACGTGGTGTGGATTCTGTTGAGCTCATTTTTTGGGTCAATACCAATCCATTTTACAATGTATGTTTGGTGTATAATTATTTTATAATCACTTCAATCGTAGTAGGGATTGGAAGTCCTAGGACACACAAGCACAGAGATGAGCCTCCCATGAGCCCATGAACCTACTAGATTTTTTAAAGAAAAATAATAAAATAAAGGGAAAATTACAGTCAAGGTATCAAACATTTCAGTTAATTGCAAACTTTGCACAAACTTTTCATTTGTGCCACACATGGTACCAAACATTTAAAAAAAAATCGCAGCTCCAGTCCTCATTGACGATTTTCGTCCGTTTGATCACCAAAATCGTTAGTTAAATTTTTTTTAATAATTTTCACCAAATAGGCAAGGACAATTTCGAAATTACACACATTTATATTTTACAACATATAACACAAAACCCTCAACGCTTAAACGCTAAGCCTAATTTTTGAAGCTAAAAATATCCATCCCACAAATTTAGCCTACGTACCTAGTTACAAACCCATTTTACAAACACTCCATACAAAAAGCCGAATAACCAAGTCTTCCACAATTTTGGTCTTGTTGCATGGAGGGTGTTGATTTCAACTTCAATTTTCCTCCTAGCCCGTAATAGACCTGGAATCAACTCCCTAGATCTCTCACACATAGGAGGGTCATACCACACAAAAAAGGTACATCTACCCAGATCTTGGCTTTGAGGATAAGTGAGAAATCTTTTCCTTGGGTTCAGGTTCGTCCATGAGGTCTTCATCTACATTGAGGAACCACATCTGCATACATTCATCTCCATCTACGTACTGATTTTTCCCGACTAACTGTGGGAGAGAGAATGATATTAGTAGTAATGAAAATGGAGAGAAAGTAAACATTGAAGTGCAATAATAGATAAGGAAAGTGTGTAATTCCGAAAGTGCACTTGTCTATTTGGTAGAAATTATATATATATTTTTATTTCTGAAGTCAACTAACGATTTTGGTGGTCAAACAGACAGAAACCGTCAATGAGGACTGGAGCTGCGATTTTTTTAAAGGTTTGATACCGTGGGTGACACAAATGAAAGGTTTGGGCAAAGTCTGCAACTTACTGAAATGTTTGGTACCTTAGCTGCAACTTTCCCTAAAATAAATTTAAAAATTCAAAATTAAATATATTAAACTCTAACCAAAAAAGAGTCCACGAGCAAACAAAATGGTGCCCGACTCGACACATAACTAGTATCAAAATGAGCCCTTATCGCATGGGTCGAGTAGGGACAAATCGTGTTTGGGAACGACTTGACCCGTTTGCTGTCCTAGGTTAAACTACTTCTTATCCAAATATTTCATCACGAGTAATGTTATTCATCCTCAGTGGGGATGAAAACACAGTTTAAGTGGCTTTAAATGATAGGTTAAATGAGTCATTTCATTTCACCTATCATTTAATGCCGCATTAGCGCTATGTAGACTGTATTTTCATCCCCAGTGGGGATGAATAACATTACTCTTTCATCACACCCACATCTATTATTCCTCATCATAACATATTCAATATAACCCACAACTTATAGTCACTTAAAAGTATTATTTAATCAACAACTAAACATGCTTTTAAAACTCATTTTCAACTACACATATTTTATGGGATCCACAATATTTATTAATTTTTCAAGTACACATTTTATCATCTTTTATTAAAATCTACTAAATATGTGATTTTTCCATTTATAAAAATACACGATTTATCAAAAGGTCGCACCAGAAGAGGGTGCATACCCTTTTTTTCCCTTTTTAATTTTGAGCTGTTAAAGTACCTCGAAAACATTCTAATATGTTTAAATTATGTAGAGAACATTCTTATATATGTAAATTAGGTCATTGCCACATTTCTTTGCTGAGTAAGTCGTATCGTTTTTTCATCAAATTTCTTATAAATTCAATTTTTTCTAAAAATTTAATGGCAACGAGAATTGAACTCAAGATTTTTGTTGTCCGGATATCATAAGTATATAAATAAAGTTATCTCCGCCACTTATTATGAAGTTTTTCCTTAGACTTTAAGGTACTACATGCTTAGAAGAATGATGAATTATGACTTTTTTAATTGTCATTTTCCAAAAAAAAAGGTACTTCCTCACAACTCATCTATCCCCCACCACCTCAAGGCGGCCCTGTCTTCCACTAGCGTGCAGGGATAAATGAAGACATGAATGGAAAAAGTAAAATTAGAAGCAATGGCATTAGGAAACAGAGGAATGAAGAAATAGTTTAAATAGTATAAAACAGAGGAAATAATTTCTTTTATACAGAATAAAAAATATACACTAAAATACATAAAAAAGAATCATGGAAAGATGTTGCTAGTCCTAGAGATAGGATCAAGAATTGAAATTTGTTCATGAAAGAAATATCAAAATCTCCACCTTAAAAGGCTTCGCCGATTAAGATTATTGCTTGAATACTTGGCACTGTGCAGGGTTGTAACTAACACAGTTTAGTATCCCGTCTGTTCAAGAACTATACGAATGTCTGCAGACGATGCATTGATCAGATATCAATCTATCTATAATGCTTCCCTCTTCTATCTTGATTCTATTACTTTGCCTATTCCATAAATGTACCCCATAGGCCTCCCTCTTGAGCTGCCGCAGCTTGGCTTCCACCCATTTCTTGTCATTCTGGTCATTAGGCCGGGTAAAAAATCTGGCCACCCGAGTCCAATCCACCGGATAAAAAGCCATTGGAGGAAAAACAGTAAAGTCCAAATCTAGTGGTTTTTCCAGCCTATCAACCACTCTTGACACCAAATATGGTCCATTGTGTCCCCATCTATTCCCATCAAAAGTGGAAGCAAATTCCTCCATGAACATGTACAGAAGTGGATGCTTTTTATCAAATACAAGCACAGCGTTATTCAATCTTGTCCAATTTCCATTGAGATCAATACTTTGTGCTCCAATTGAATTCCTTAAACTCGAAAAATCCTTCAATACGATAAAATCCGTGTCCAAGTAAACTCCTCCATACTTGTATAGAACTGCTAGCCTAATCAGGTTGGATAAATTCTGTGCCAGGGGAATTTCCCCAGGGTCCTTTTTTCCATTTTTGATATCATTCAACCATATTTCTGATGGGGTGTTGTTGAATAAGGAATTCAAGTTGGGCGCGATTGCTTGAACTCTAAAGCCACGTTCAATCAGAGGTTTCAAAATCCTATATCCATATCTAGAATCCATAGTATTCGAGAGTATGATCAAACATCCTGTGGGATTTGTTTTGAACAAGCTCTCGATAATGAAAAATTCCCTTGTTCCAAACGATTCTGCTGGAGAAATCCATGTCATGAAGAACTGGACCTTGCACTGATATCTGCCAAAAAAATTCCCAATTCTAGAATCAAATTTTGGTGTCAAATACGTAGAGTCAAACACTTTCAATTCTTGGATTCTTCCTTTTTCTTCAGTAATCGTTTCGGTGAGTTTAATCCTTACTTGATCATCTGATGAAGTTGATTTCAACGGTTCTGATATTTTGTGAGTCTGCAACTCCTGATGATTGCTTCTGTTTACATCAGCAACAGGGTTGATTGAAAGATTGTTAGAAAACAAACCGTCGGCGGAAATAATAACTAGGATGATCAAAGCAAAAGTTATAATCGAGAATATGTTCAATCTTATAGGGCTGAATCTCAATGAATACAACATTTTTGCCCACAAAAAATTGTCACTCAGTTTCTCAAGAAATCGGAGGAAAATGATACAAAGATATAGAGGAAATCACTTGGCGATCCCATTAGGACTAGGTTTGAACTGTTCTCTGTATATGGATTTTGGTTAAGATTCGGGGTTGTTGAATTTGAGAAAAATTTGGCTGCCATAGGAGACTTTTAGAGAGAGAGAGAGAGAGAGAGGGAGACACTGTTGCATGGGATTATTTATTCGAGTGTGATCCCGTACTAACTAGTTACCCATTATTTCGCCACCAATTGGAATCAAGATATTATTATTTTTAGGAAATTACACTATTGATCCGTAACTTCTTGGCCTGGTACAAATTGATCATCAGTCTTATAATTACAAAATATGTAATCGCTAATCAATAATACAAATAGTTGAAATTCTCGTTAAATTGCAGTGCAAATTGTTACCCAAATAAAAATACGTTTCACTTGTATATACCACAACAAGTTAATAATAAAAAAAAAAAATCCGTCTTCGTAAAGTTAGATAAGTGAGGTTCATGTCATGATGGAAATTCGGACACCTTTCGTGTTTTAGGATGAATGTGCAATTATATAAAAAGATTGAGATCAATTCACTCCTTTTTTAAAAGGTTGGAACCAATTTGTTACTAGGACAATAGATTGAGGAACAATAACACAAGTTTCTCTTAGTTTTTGGTAAACCACAATCCTCATTGCAGTATGTTGAATACATTATGGAGAAAAGAAAGGTTAGGTCAGAGTCAATCTCCTCTTCAATTCTAAAATTGGTGCAAATTGACCAAATTTTTTTTAGGTCAGAGTCAATCTCCTCTTCAATTCTAAAATTGGTGCAAATTGATCAAATTTTTTTTCGCAATTTTCAACTCTCCCTTTCATTTTATTTTATATAGTCAATTTCCATCTCTTTCCATCTTATATTTTTCTTGTAGTCGCGTATTTTCTTTTCAAACTACATTATACTTCAATAAGAATACTTTTAATCCTCTGAGTTTGACATAACTAGATCAGATTAAATAACGTGTAGATCATGTTGAATTTAGTTAGTATGCATACCTATAATAAAGCTACACGTGTTTAAACGAATCACATAAGGTAGTTATATTTTTGAACAATATCCGTCATTAAACAAACAAATAAATTACCATTGAAAGAACAAGGTGCAAGGGCAGAGTTAGGATTTTTTATCAGGGTGGGCACAATATATTGACAAAGTCCAAAGAAGAGAAAAGATCATCCCAGCCATTTCCTTTCCAAAGCTTCTACCTAACATTTAAAAGATACTTGGAGCAACTACTGTCAACCTAGCTTAAAATAACAAAATCCCACAAAGTCCCTTATAAGCCTTCAAGTAGGAGGGAAGGGGAAGAGACAAGGATTTATTTTCTGTTCATAAAAAAGGAGCTCTCCATTTTTTTCACTGTTCATTGCTTTGGTACTGGAAATGAGGGGAGATGCAAAAATTGACATATAGGCCTCTTGCTTTTCTACCCCATTTTAGGGTGAAGAAAGAATCGTGAGCAAGAGAATTCTTCTCCACCGAAGTCAAATTATTTTTAATCCACATATTTAGTAGGATTTTAAAGTATTATTCAATTATCTATCACTAATTTTTATCTATTTATAAATACAAATATTTTAAAAAGTATATGTTAAGCTCTAAGTTAGCCAATAAATTGTCCATCACAATCGATTTTGTTAGAAGGAAAAATACTATTAAAAATTGAAGTCAATTAACCTTAGTTAATTTTCATTATTATTGTACGATTTCAACTGCAAATTTAACGTTGTGACTTGTGATCACCCCCACATGTATACGCCAATACAGAGGTCAACAAAGAGAGAGAGAGAGAGAGAGAGAGTCAAAAATCAATAAATACGTGGGATATTAATAAAAAAATAGGCAAGTTCCGGAATGAAGTAAATCAAGTCAATTGGAAAAGGACGAAATAGTACGGCCAAGTAAGCTGCCCTATTTGACCGTTTCAACTTTGAATTGGTTTTAAATTTTTTTGGATTGGGCTTCACTCCTTTTTGGCTGAAAATTAGCCCATTACAAAAAAAAAAAAATTTTATTTGGGGGATGAGGTTGAGCCCATAAGTTCAGGGTGGGCCTGTGCCCACCCTTGTCCTCATTGGGCTCCGCCAGTCTGTCAAGGTGCATCCCTTTTATTTTTATTTAGTTAAAATCGATCTCGCATATAAAATATGCTTCGAGTCTCACCATATCTACAAATTTAGTACTTTTTTTTATTTACTCATTGGGCTATATACATTTTTTATGTACAAGTAGCATAATCATTTTGAGACATGCGAATAGTACTACTTACCTTATATTTCTAGAAGCATAAAGAAGGTTTAAAAGTTGACCTCTGCTTTAGAGGATTTTGCGAGGGTGATTTTTTTTCGAATAATCATTTTTTAACACTTGAAGACAATAAGCAGGTGGAGCAAACCTCATAAGTCATGTTTCGTGGCCAAAATTTTTCGAAGAATACACGTTCAGGTACAGATTTAGGGGGCTCCCAGCCCATTTAATTAAAAAAAAATTCTTGTGTAATTTTTNATCCCACTTTATTTTTTATGTATAAAAATTTTACGTAAAAAAAAAAAAAATCATGTGTAATTTTTTTTTTTTACGTATTAGTCTGGTCTGTAATTTAGTCCTGGATCCGTCCCTAATGTTGCAATAAGGATATAACAAGGTGTTTGACTGCGGGAGAGAATGAATTAGGATTGGTGTGGTTGGTAAGTTTTGTTAGGGAAGATAATTTTTTTATTTTTTTGTGTGTTAACATGTATTTAATTATTTTAAGTATGACTTATTTGTATTTTTTTAAAAGTTAAGGTACTTCATTTGCATTTTTTCTTATTTTTGTTTATTTAAAAAGATCTATAAATCTGTCATCTAATGGTCAAATTGGAGCCTTGGAGGGATGAGAGTTTTGCTATATAATTGAAAGGTTGGGATAAATTATGTTTGAAAAAACGTTGAGGATAGTTTTATTACATTTTGCAAAGATTAAGGATGAAAGATGCCAATTTCACTTTTTTAATTATTTTAACCTTCTCTAATTTAGTTACTAGAGGCCATAATGTTCATAATATGTTTTTTTTTCTCCTTACAAAATTTATTATATTCATTTTCTTGATTTCCAACTTAAATAAATAAGAAATTAACTTTAAAAAAGTTAATAAAGTACTGACAAATATAGATGACAGCTTCATTTGATTTGTTTTCAACATTGTAAACTGGAAAATAAAATTGCTTGTCATACTCTAAATTGGTTTTTTTGTTAGAACTTAAAATTAATTTTTTGTTCATTTAAATTGATTTATTAGCTTTATAACATTTGTAAATTTATTCAGGAATGTAAGTGTAACTTTCTTATTATTTATTCTTCTCCTTTATGAGAGTAAGCTTAATATGTAGATATGACATTCAGCTTTAAAAACTGTTAAATGTTACAATTTTTACAGGATGAGAACTATAGAACAGTACATATCAATATACTAGTAAAATGTTCTCAGATAGAAATAGGATAAGAAAATCGACAATTCAGGAGCTTAAGAGAAGAAGCCGAAGGTGTCCAAAATGGTTGTGTGAAGAGGGTCACTCAAGTGTGTAGCCCAGTTGTTAAGAGGACCTTTGCCGGTGGCGGCAGCCTGGACTGCAAAGCCGAGGAATGCCACCATGGCGAGGCGGGCATGCTTTATCTCTGCCAGTTGAAGGGTGGCTTTCTTCTCAGGGTCGGCCGCCAAGCCAAGTGGATCGAAGAAGCTGCCACCGGGGTAAAGTCTCTTCTCGGGATCAAGCTCGGCATTCCTCTGGAACTCAATGTAGCCAATGACGAGGACTTCAATCCATATTAATGTGGTTATGGAGAATGGAAGTGGTTGGCCAAGGTAGGAGGAACCCTCAACAAGCTCAACCTGTTAAATGTGTATATACAAACACACGCTCATTAGTCATTCTAAAACTAACTCATCGGATTTAAGTATCAATTTTGCTACACATACATTCTAGTTGACATTCTGATTTACATTGTACCGTGTAGCAAACAATTTTACCATTGATTTCTCCAATACTTAAAACAATCAATGAGCTCGATTTTGCCACATATTCAAATGTCATCCAAGTTGTACGTAAATAGTGTACAAGTAGTATAGCTGATTATGTATAAGCCATCAAACATCAAATCAAGAAATTGCTATAAATTAAATCAGAAACTTTTGAGTAATTTATTTTAAGACATTCATGTGTACCAGATGATCCAAAAACATGTTACGTTCGCCGAAAAATGGTAAAGCTACGTACAATTCTGTTCTTTAATCTTCAATCACGAGCGGTCTTGTTTGTCCACCCAATCCCGTTTCTAAAGCAATAATAAGCAAAACCACAGACAAAACACGCAAAACATGCACATAGATTTATAATTTTTCACTATCACAAGAGAGCTATTTTATGTCCACTTGTCTGGCATAATTTTTAATAAAATGAACTAACACCTCTCCCGTGACACAAAAAATAAATAAATAAATAAAGAGTCTCCATAGAAATTTTAAGATGAATATTTTGTTCAAATTAATATTTGATTTTTATTGAATTTGCAAAACCGAGGTTCAGTTACTTTCGTGGCAAATTGATGGGATAAGCAAAGAGTATCATTAGATTTTATAAAGTCTAACATTCCAAACGTGCCAACATGCAATTTTGCATGGTACAGCTCCGTCAGGCCACATTTTTACTTTTTCAAGACAAATTTTACAGGGAAATCATTCACCATGCACACTGAAATGAAGGGTTTTGCTAAATTTGGAATAGTATATATGTTACCTTCCCGGCATCTTGCCATGTAACACCGGTGAGCCACTCGACACTCAAGGCACCAAGAGTGGCCAACATGGCCCACCTGCCATGGATCAGCTCGCACTCCCTAAACCTCTGGAGCCCAAAAACCTCACTGTAAGGCTGAAACGGTG